AGAGCTGACCCCGCAAAGCAGGAGGGCATCGAGGTGACCCCTGCAAAGGGGGAGAGCTGCCCCCGCAAAGGAGGAGGGCATCGAGGTGACCCCCACAGAGGAGGAGGAGAGCTGCCCCCCACAGAGGAGGAGGGCATCGAGGTGCACCCCTGCAGAGGAGGAGAGCTGCCCCCCGCAGAGGAGGAGAGCTGCCCCACCACCTGCCCCGCGCTGCGGGCCGCCCGCATGGCTCCCGGGCGCTGGAGAGACCGGGGGGGCTGCTGCTGCTGAGCAACACCACGCTGCTTTAAACTCGGCCTCAACTTAGCACGGCGAGCAGGGATGGCAACACTGCCGGAGCTTCGGAGCTGCCAAGAGAGCCGGGGAACCTGGGTTTTGTTTGCCACTGTCTAATAAATGGGAGTAAAATGGAATTTCTTACCTGGGTTTTTCCTGCCTTGGTTCTACTGTGCACCCAACAGCACAGGTGTATCAGGTAAGAGGATGCCTTATCATTCTTTCTTAGACTGGCCTGAGACGGCCGTTCTGTCGGTGTGGCTGGGGTGCCAAATGCCCGCTCTGGCCGTAGCTCCCACTTTTGCCCAGGGATGCTCTCCATTTCAGGGCTACGGCTGCTTTGAGTGAGCACTCAGCAGAAAAAGGGGTCTTGACTGAAGAGTTTCCTCAATATGCCCCATCATCCCCCCCTTCTTTTTCTAGCAGAGGATGCACTTCTGCCAACTGAGCAGCAGTTTCTCGGGTTTATCAAGGGGGGTGTTTTTAACAGGATGCCTGTGGAAGCCTTTTCCCGAGAGCGCTTACTCTAAATCGGGGGCAATCACTTTTTGTAATGGCACAGCACATCCCAGCGCAGCCTCATCCCCTTAAACAGCTCTGTAGGGGGCCTGCTTGAACGCGAAACTCTTCCATAAAACCCGGCACAAGCAGTGGGGTACTAACTGAACACCTTTGCTTAGGGCCTCCACAGGCACAATTAAAAACCCAAAATACAGACATTCCTTTCTAACCCGTGTGTTAAGTCTCCTGAACTGGAGATACGAGGAGGAGACTGGCAGAGATCTTAGAAAAAATGTTTGAAGAACACCAACCATCTCTCAAAATAATAGCTGGTAAAGATGCATGTTTGCGATCCTCAGTCACATTTATTCAGAAGGTGTTAGCTAGGCAACCAGCTATGTTCTCTATATATTCTCTACAGATCTGGAGGCTGTATGTGGAGAAAGCTTGCCATGATTATGCAATGAAAATAGAAGGGGGAGTAAAAAAGAACTTGCTGCATGTAAAAACATGCCTACATCATCCAGAGCAGAGATGGCTGTGGTATTAAAGGGGTCTTCCTACTTCCAGTTTATAGACATTATTAATAGCGTCAGAGGAGCACAAGAAGCAAAGTGATAACTGCAGTAAGAATAACGTTGCTGTTATAGTTTTTGGAATTAATTAGTGAGATCTGATTTTTTCACTGGGAAGGAAAAGGATCTTGCATTAGAGGAAGTGTCAAGTCAACTGCTCTTATTCAGGACTGATATAATTATTTATCCTATGACCTTGAATCTGTTACCCAGGGTCAGATGCTGACACCCTCATGCTCTGAAGAAATACAGTATTACAGTGAAGGCAGAGAAAATACTGCCTGTGACCTAAGAGCATCAAGATCTTGCCCATAATTTCAATGAGCCTGTTTCTCTATCTGCACTTGGGCTAGCATTAAGTATTTTGGTTGAAAAGTGGTGTTTGAGTATAAAAGAAGGAAAAAAAAAGAATTTTAAGGAAGAGTCAGCCTTCTCAGTGTCTGTCTTCAAGGTCTGTTTCTAGGCACAGCAACTGCCAGGATATGTGCAGCCTCTAATTTGTTGGATAAATTATTTTATATTTGGATTAATTACCTAGTTACTTGACTTTCTTCCTCCAGTTACACCAGAGGGATGAGTTGTTTGTTAGAAATACATATACTCGTGGCAGAGAGTAAGGCAAGGCAAATTCTAGCTTGTGACATTCCAACTGTTCACTTTGTAGTAGTTTTCCAAATATGCCAAAGTGTAAGACATTCAGTGGTCAAAGAAAACTGCTCTGTCTGTGTGGCTATGGCAGAACATTGTTTAATCTTGTAAAAAGTGAGTACCCTTGCTTACATGTGTACTTCTGATGAGTTAAACAGAACTAAACCAAAATTTTATCCTTGCCTCAGTAAAATTACTCACACATAGACGACCTGTGAAATCATTCCCCTTGTAAAGGCCCAAGAAGCACATAACTTCCTTATTCTCTTCCTTGGAGTTCTGTAATGTGATATTAGATACAATTTATGTTTCGTAAGAGATGCTTTTATGAAGAGCAGTGTCTTATTAATACTGTGGTTTTATAATAATGGGCAAAACTACCAACAGCTACATTTTATTGCTCTGATCTTGTTTTCTAAAGGTAACGTGATTGATGGTTATGATGACAGAGGCCATCCAAGCCCACTACGTTAGCTGCTTGTGACCTCTATGGACTGTATATTGACAGGTGTAAGCAAAAACATACTCAAAAAAGGACGAATATTTCAGCAAGTTCTGAACTCAGTGGTATGACATAAGACTTCCCAAAGGCAAAACTACCTATTAAAATAATGTTAAGGTTTGGCAAAGGAGGGAAGTGAGGAATACATGTAGCCTGCTTCCTCTTAGCATTTTTGAATATCCTTTCAGGGTGCTTTAGAGGGCTGTGTTTGAAGCAGTTGCTCTGTCATGTGTGCTATTTGACTGAAGTGAATGAGTCAAATTCCACCTAAGTCAGCACATCCCACTTATGCCAGTGCTGTTTGCAGGTAAACATTTTTTAAATGTAGTATTTTGTGGTCTGCTTGAGACAGTGACTAGTGGCAAGAAATTTATCATTTATACGACTGACAGCTCTTTGGGGCAAAGACTGTGGCTTCCACTATTTTATCAGAGTTTGATATGCTGTGGATGCTGCAACAATAAATGTGTCATAGTGAATGAGATCATCTGCTGAAACACACTTAGTGAAGTATTTCTTC